AGTACTAAAACTGAGAAAATCAGCAAAATGTTTATTGAAATCAACATTGTTTTCTTTTTGGAAAAGCACAAAATATCTTACTAGGCAATAAACCATATTCACAAGTGTCATTCGGTATATCGAAAGAAATGATCGTGAAAGAATAACTAACAGTGGCCAATCATTGCGATCGTATCGTGAAAGATCTGATATCGGATCGTGAAAGTGTAATTCTACTTCATAATCTGAGAAAAATCTGCTGTATTTTCAAACGGTAGAAACAAATCATAAAAAGTACTGTCTGTCAAAACTTCCTTTATAATACTGAGCCCCAAGTTAAAAAAAACATGCAGTACTCTTTTTAGAAAACACAAAAGGCGAAACACAATCCTATGAGAATTTTTAAGAAAAAATCACGTTTTGTATCTTTAATTTAAAAATCTGAATTTTACTTAATATTACTCGACCCAGTCTTAACTATAAATGTAGGCTCTTTTCAATATATAATGATATATTTAAAACTGACTTTTTATTGTGTCAGAGAGTTCAGTAAAAAAAGTATGTTATTACTTGAAAAAGTTTATATTATCATCAAAAAATTATATTTTTATTGATTTTTAATCAATATTGATCGTGTAAGATCATTCAACGCATTATTTTGATCGTGACAAGGCGTGACCAGACCTAATGATCAGAAAACATCATTTCCTAACCAATTGATAAAATTATAATTGGCTGAAGCGTGTAATTACTTAATAAGAACATTAATCAACGCTTAAATTTTTATTATGATATATACCCATATTTTTTACCTGTTTTTATTTAAGAGATAATGCTACATGTAACTTTTCATCCAAGATAATACGATCTCAAGGAGCGTAAATTATCGAAAGGGAAATATCGTTGTAATGCATAATGCATAATGCATCCATAAATAATTGAAAAGAGGGTGGGTCTGGTGGTCTCCCCCTGAAAATATCTTAATGTGTACTTTTTTTTTGTTTTTGTAAGGGTTATATAAAAGAAGTTAATATATCATTTAATTATACATATAAGTTTATTGACAATAGCAATACATACTCTTTTGATTTGGTCCTATTGATTTCTATGAACTAGAAATTACATACACCACATATACAGCTTCCTCGACCTCATTTTTTGACATACCCCGAATTTGACTACAGCGGTCATCTCGGTACTTTTTTCACCTAAGCAACGATTAATAAATACCTTAAAAAATAATATTCAGTGTCTACTTAACAAATAATTCAGTATGGTATTGAGTTATAGATGCTTATTTGGATACTGACTCTGTGTAGCATTTTATCTACTAAAAGTTTTACCTTTATTTGTGATTTTATGTTCCATTTAATCGTATGCCTCTTGACGTGGTTTGGTATATATGCATCCAGCTTTCACAGTACTGATTCTATTACTCTGCTGGTGGACTATTAATCCCCAAGGGTATCATCAGCTCAAAATCACAACAAACCTTTCTAAAATTTTCCGTTAATAAAACTTGTATATATAAGAAACTAAGGTTTCAACTCCCTCAGGCAAAGCTTACTTTAGATAAATTTGGCTATTCTATGTCCTTTTTGGTCATATAGCTCTTCAACTGTTATGGTTATTATTCATTCATTTTGGCTACTAAGTAGTTTGACTTTGTGCGTTCATAATGAAGGTACATCCAGAAAAGCTCTTCGGACACATAAAGTCTGTTTTCAATTTTATAGGTTTTAGGATTTGGACTTCGTTATGTGGATGGGTCCAGAGATGCGATTTGGACACATGAGGTTTTATAATGTTGTTTCATCATGTTAACCCTTGCTTTTATATTTTACTTTTTTTTTATTTTATTGGGAAAGTGTATATCTCATTATGTAAGGAGCCCATTACAGAGCCCCTTAAGTGCCAAGTTAATAGAAATATTCTCTTTTTCCAGAGATTTAATCTAGTGCGCACTAGTTTGAAAAATCGTGCACACGACTTTTAAACTCATGCGCACGACTTTCAAAAACTGGTGTGCACACTTTCACATGACACTTAAAGGGCTTCGTAATAATGCTTTACTATAATGATTGTATTATCAGCTACAACAACTTTTTGTTGGAGTCTTTGTTTGATATAATTGTAAGTGTGTTTTAATGATAAACCAAGCTCAGTTGTATGTCTGTGATGTATGGTTACATGAAGTTTTGGCTGCTGGATCCCAGATATTGCCACTTAACCAATTATGTCTGTATGGGTTGCTCACCAAATTTGGCAATTTCACGGAACATTAAACAACTGTAATACAAGTGGGCGAATACGCTAGCTAGAAAACCAGATTTTACTTACCATTGGATTGTGACAAGTCAGGATTATGACATTTGTAATCCTGCAGTTTTTTTCTTAACAATGTTTTTTTTTCTTCAGTTTTTACAAAAAACAACACAGATCCATTTCACGATCCTCAAAATGCGGTACCCGATCTTTCCCGATCCGAAATATTAAATTTTTACAAATATTTCCGTTTCTGATTAAACTAAATAAAAATAACTTTAAAAACTATTTGAAACAGTAATAATGAACGATAATTTAAGGAGCAAAATATTTTATGCATAAAAAATTTGAAAAATATCAGGTTTGTTTACATTTTTATTACTCTGAAATTTCGAAGAGCAATCTACCTTTTGTATTTAAAAAAAAAAGATGTACTTGATTTTTCTCAGATACTTATCATAATGTTGAATCATTTAAACAGACAGTTTTATTTTTCCAATATTGGTCATTATAATTAATCAAATTAGATTATTTACTGATGTTGCATGTGTTTTTTCCCGATACGATGTCATTCACGACCCTATACGTGTTCTTTAACGATTCAATCGCAATACTTATTTTTTCACGATCTTTTTTCTCGCTATACCGAATGATAGCCGTGATATATTTATAAAGAACATTATAACTTAAATCCCTTCATTTTTTTCAACTGTGACGATACTGAATTATACTTTCACCGGATGTTTACTTAGGGTGTTTACTAAGGTTCGAGTTGCTCAATTTGTATTTGATGATTTGTCTTTTCATCGATTTTCTATTTTCATAAGCCTTATGAATTTTGATAGCTTCAATAGTATCTTCTCTCTCTCTCTTAATGCTGAAAAAATGATAAATTAATAACTTAAATATATTCACGTTTGTTATAGTTTGAAGTCGTATATTGACATCTGTGTAAAGTTTATAAAAATATCAATATATACATGTAAAGCAAACTTCCTAGTGTCCTTATACCATCTATATCAATTGCATATGAAATATATTAGACTAACTTGCACGTGATTATTTAACGACAGCGTATGATCTATATACCTGATAGTAAACTTTAAGAAATTGGCAGGATTGTTTTTCTTATATTATGTTTTGTTTTGTTTGTTTTTTTTCTCTTTTATGTATGTATTTCAATCTATGTGCGTAACAAAACCAAAACGAAACGGGATTACGTCTACGCCCTTGTGTAGGAAATAAAAGATTCGATGTTGTCGCTAGCATATCAAAACGTTTAAAACAATTATCGAAAATAAATACATACTTCATCTAATGTTATATTGTGTATGTCAAGAAGAGACCAGTGAAACAGTCTTGTTTTTGAAATCAAAATAAGTATTCAGGAGTTTACATTTCTTAGTTCCAGTAATGCGTAATTCTTCCATACACAAACAAATTATGGACATTGATTTCAATATACAGAAAGAATTAATCTCATATAAGAAAGTTGAATCATTTTTAGAATGCAAGACATAGGGATTACAATCCGGCGACGACGACCAGGCGTACACTACTTGTGTAAAGCTTTATATATTAGAAGGTAGTAGATCTGGATGCTATCAATCCTTTCATGCAGATTCCTTATGTGAAGAAATTTCCGTCTATAATAGGTCCGTTGTTCTTGGCTAATTGGATACCTGTATTTCGTATATGTCCTCTTGCATGCAAGTTTACATGTATGTCAGACAAGGTTGAACTAAACTCGACCTCATTTTATTGATTAATGATGAAGGTTTAGTTTACATGATCAAGTCCGTATCTCAGATACTTTCAGAAATAGGTCAACTATATTTGGTGTACTAGTATTAAAATTGAGAATGGAAATGGGGAATATGTCAAAGAGACAATAACCCGACCAAAGAACAGATATTGAATGATTGCCAGGTCTACATGTCAGACTTGCAGGTTTAATCTGACCTTGAAATCATTTTTATCGTTCGATGAACAATGTTTCGTGTGGTTTAGTTTATTTCTAAGATACTAAACGCAATATATGTTGTGTATGAAATGTTTGTAAGGTGAAAATGTATGTCTGGTAGGATTCATATGACCTTGAACTCATTTTCATGGTTCATTGGTCAAAGTCAATTTTCTATTTTTTTTTTTTTGTTTTCTCTTTATCGGATACAATAAGCAGTAGGTCAGTTGTATTTGTTGTATGGAATAATTATAAGGTGTACATGTTTCTCTGGCAGGGTTCATAGGACCTGAACCTTAACCTTCATGGTTCATTGGTCAATGTTAAGGTTTTTGTGATTTGGTCTGTTTTCAAGGTACTTTACAGATAGGACCACTATACTTGGTGTACGGAACGATTTTTAGGTGTACATGTCTGTCTGGCATTATTCATTTGACATTGGACTTATTTGCATGGATCATTAATAATATTAAGTTTATGTGAAATTTGTAGCATAACCTTCATACTACAGAGATTCAACATAGATTCAATCATGAGTTAAGCAGACGAGACATTTCAGCGTGTGCACTCTTGTTTGAATTTTACTACATATATATGTTATTCTCTGTTCTTCTACCTTTGTGTTTTCATTGTTAACGTTCCGTGTCTAACCAAATATGATATTAGCTGTGTCGATGAAAACTTTTGTACTGTAGTTTGCTCCGTCAATTTTTCGTTTTTTTTGGTCTTAGAATATGTTTTGGTCAGTACATGCACCATGCATGCTGTACTCACATTATTGTATTGTTTTCAGGTGTACCAGTTTAAAAATCAATGGTTTATGGATTTATATATTCATGCTTTTTGCTTCTGTTGACCCTAAATCATGTAAGTATTTTAGAAATTCAGATGGTTCGAGTACGTAAATAGCAGATGTTAATATTGTCTTAGAAGGATACAATTTTAATTTAGATGTATGTTTATTGGCTTATAGCAATATTCAGTCATTTTTTTACCAAGTTTTGTTGTTACGGATATTTCATTTTTTATTATTATGTAATTTGTTACCACGTTGGTTCCCTGAATAATTTGACAAAATAGCTTCTGTTATAAACGTTGTTTTCTTGTACAATTCCTAGAGTGTATGACTTGTAGAATTAAAAAAAAATAGATATATCAAAATATCAAACAATTATATAATGATAATGTAGGACTTTAGGTGGAAATCTGATTCTAACAGGTACAGAAATTAATCAAACTAAATTGCCAAAATTGTAATCATTTAATCCAATCATACATAAATCTACACACTAGCTATTTGACGTCGTCTTATAACTCAATCGTGTACAATCGCGTGCAAATAAACAAATATTCAAATACGTGACACATCTTATTTGATATGTCGATCAACTTTAACAATTAAAAACAAAATTACCTTTTCACCATTTTACATGTATGGCATTTCAGCAACAAAGTTAGAAATGCTAATTAAAAGATAAGAGCATTTTATTGCCTATATAATGATCAGTGCAAGTTTCTCTGTAATATCATACCAAACTCCTGAATTCATGTACGACAACGTATGCAGTTAAGATTAGTCTTCCCTACCATAAGAGCGGTGTATAACAACATAACAAATTGCTGAATAAATGTTAAGTTGTTCTTAAAACAATCAGCGAATTCATGAAATCTTATATGTAGGCAATGAAGTATGGATGAAGGGTCCTAACAAAACAAACAGCATTCTATTAATGTTGTCATCAATAAGATAGTCCACCCAGTAAAAGACGGACAATGTATATGGGGAGAGTAGCTAGAAAGAATTTCAACGGGAAAGCCAACAATACGAATGCTAAGAAAGAATTAAGGATTCTCTAAGTTTATCAATTAGAAAACGACGAGGAGCTATTAAAATTCAAATAATAAGACATCATATCAAGTACACTGAAGGACGTCAAGTATTTTTGCTGAACGCAACGAGCGTTGAAAAATCTATATATCCAAATTGCCTTGTTTATGATGCTTCGTCCTATATGTGCTTTATTTCTTATGTATAAACGAACTTTCATATCTATTCTATAATCAATTATACCTTAAATATCACACTCAAATGTTAAGTTTTTCGTCGTTTTAATCTTAATAAAGCAAAACAGTATGTTATGTCTTTGCAGTATGCACCATATCTTGAAAAAAATAGGCGTAAACAAATTTGATTATCATGTTTACCGCAGAAATTATAGAAATGGTTTAATTTCAGTTTGAAAATACGAATGGTAAAGTTTAAGATGTTATAAAGACACATTATAGTCAGATAGAACATATTTAGATAAAACAGCATCGCCGGATTTTGATGAGGTTATTAGTTTGAGAACATCAATACCACATACTCCAAATCATAAAGGTTTTGAAAGCCAAGATGAGAAAACACCTTTTAAAGTTCCTTCCGTCAGAAACGCGTTTTTAGATGTTTATTTATAAGGAACGCTCAAAGCAAGTTTATGTATCAAGAAATGTTAGAACGGAATGAGAAAAAAATACATGAGAAGTAAAGCCTAATTTATCTTTAGCAATTTTGTTTTAGGGAGTTGCAGCCTTAGTTTCTTAATAATTTTCTAATTCATCAAGTAGTTAACACATCGATGAAAAAATGAAATGCATTTACTTTAAGATTCAGACGATATCAAAAGGACAATAAATACAATCAACGAAAGAGCAACTGATAAAACCATGAAAAAAGGAACCACACTCATAGGAGATAAAACAGTCTGCACCACGCTAAACAAAAACATAATAAAAAACTCCGACAAAAATTGACGTGTGATCGAAGTTGCGGTAGAAGGAAACCAGATCTGCTTCACTGAAGACACTCCTCGTGTTGTTCAGTGCAAGAACAAATTCGATGATAATTCGTGATGTCATTTTAGAAGAAAATAGAGCGGGCTTATGGATACGACAGTTTTTACAAAACTAATTTACTACTTAATTTCACCTTTCTTGAATTGTTAAATAAAACATTCAATACACGGATTAATCTCCTAGCATTTATGTCATCAGTGTGGATTCAATAAGATATTGGAAAGTGCCGACCAGCGTTTCCAGGCAGAAAAGTAATGTACATCTTATAATAACATATATTTAAGTTTTTCTTAAAAAAACAACAGTTAAAACATATATTTAGTGGAAATGCCATCCGAAATAGGTGAAAGGTTTAGCTAGCTACTAAATTAGGTTTAACCCACCATTGTTTTTAAATGCCCGTATCAAATCAGGAATATGACAGTTGTTTTCCAAAAGTTTTGTTGGTTTCAAAGTGGAGCGTTTCGTTTTGTCAGGTTTTATGAAATTCCTCTTTTTAAATTTTACTTTTAGTTCGGTATTTTTTGTAAATACATGTTTTTATGATTGTGGCCTGATCAATCAATAATTAGTATCCTCAACATAACAATACAACAGGCACATACATTTTAAAGGATACATACACATAATGATGATTATTTTGTATTCACCAATGATAAGATTGTTTTACAAAATATTCTTGAGATACCCAATGTATAAATATAGAAGTGTAAATAAAATACAATATCATATATAATAAAAACTGCAAAATACGAGCAAAGAATGATATACTTCAAAAAACACAAATGTGAGAACATATTTATGTATTATCTTTTATATTTTTTTACATATTTTGTTAAGAAACATGTGTGAATAGATATATATATTGTTACGAATGACAATGGATTTTGGCAACAGGGTGTGACGAGCAAGGTTTCTGGACACCCCTGCTTCTACCTTCCAAAAGCACAGTCCATTGTTATTCATAACTGTTACAATAGATGTTTTTCAATAGCATATACAGAAGTGATTACTAGTAGTGCTCACTGCAAATTGTCTTAAGACATATTAAAAAAAAACATATTTCAGGACTCAAAATAGTTTAAAAAACATTTAGCAACTATTTTGAATAAAAAAAAATTTATTAAAATATTCGTTTGCTTGAAGATAGATTGTAATCCCATATGTCAATGTATTAAAGAACATACATTCATGTAAATAATTTGTATTTGCAAAATATATTAGACAATATATAGTTTGGGCTTCATCATAACTTGCTTAAATAAACATTATGAATTAATTGTTGAAGACAAACGATGAAACTGAGTCGGAGTTTGTTGTAATTGTTTTGGCTTGTACAATATAGCCGCTTGTGGTTGTTTTTTTTTTAACAGTAGGAGCCGCTGCTGGTGGTTATATTATCCCTAATGTTTGGTATTATACAAATATATGAGGAAAGTTGATTTTTCTTTGTAAATATTTCAAAAGCATAAAAAAACTGATGTGACGGAACGACATGAATGCCATTTCCTGCAACTGTTATTTTTAGGAAATGTTTGTAAGCCTGTAGTTTCGGCAAAAAGTAATAAAGCAAAACAAAAGGTAATTCTGATCAGTAACTAATCAAGGTAGACTCACATTCAAACAGTCAGCTCAAGATATGAAGATGAATAGAAAAAGTCCGAAAAAAACATAGGTCACAGGCCTTATTTTCTTTTACAAACCTGCTCGTGTATTTTGCACTGTTATTCAACGCCAAATAATTATCTAAGATACCTGGGACGATCTCATTTCACAAAGGATTTCTATTGTCTACTTATTATACCTCGAACTTAAATACCCGGTGTAGGTCTTTAAGTTCAGGTTTATTAAAAGTTAATCGGGCATGACTAATTAGATACGCCCTCTTAAAATCAGGAGGTCCGGAATAGGATCGGGAAAAAACACCCAGGAAAATACCATAATTTACAATTTTAGAAAATTTGTTATTCAAAGTGCTTTTGGTTGCTTTAATATCTCCGGTCAATAATCAAACGGTATTTAAGTGGAAACACTAACCTGCCCCGAACCGAGAAATGTTGGCTGCAATAGGAATTTATTTACAAAAAAGTCCATATCTCATTTACTTATAGTGGCCGTTATTGGTTGTAAATTTTATGACGTTTTGTTTTTGGCATTCGTCTACCGTTGAGAAAAAAGAGGGGAGGAGGGCTAATAGCTTAGCTTACGACTTCGATCATGGTTCAACTGTATTCTTTTACGGCAAACGTTTTACCTCTAGCTCTGTATTATTGTAAAATGTGCCACTCTAAAATTGTAATCATTCGCCTCAGGTTGATCCACTTTGCATTTAGTCGTAAATATGCATGACATATTTGCCACTGGACATAAATGGAGCAATTGATTAATCAGCTTCATTTAGTGATGTATAATCATTTGTTTTCAGTTGATAATCGTCTCAAACAGTTTTCCAATTTTTATATATTTCATTTTTATTTACATATGAATTTTTAAGCGTAAATCTTCCTTCCATCATTTTTCTCTTTGCATTTAATTTTTTTATTTTAAACATTAAAAAATGTTGTCGTAGTACACATCAGGAGTTACATTGTATCATTTAGCAAAACTAATAGGAGAGGGAATAAGAACAGAAAAACAATCTTCATTGAGTACCAATAACTCATATATTGAAGCGTACAATGACGGCTGTCTCGTCTAGGTGACAACATTTGCTGTTTCAAGTTTATTTATATATCAGACTGGTATAAGAGTTGTCATAAAAGCAAATATGGATAAAAAAAAGGTTGACAACAATTTATATAGGATTCAACTTATTTTGGGCGTTTCTTTTTTTTTTTCTTTTTTTAGATATTGTCTTGCTAATCGGTTTCGTCTTTTTTTTATCATCTACAATTGTGCTAGCAAAAGTCGCAAAAATGTGTTAAAATCAGCCATGCGACTTATTTGAAAAGATTTAGCTGACCTTTTTTGTGAATTACACATTTCGATCATTCAACTCGTGCAATGATCGTATTTCCCTCTAATGTTTTCAT